ACAAGTGACGTAAGCACTTAAGTATGAGTCAGTGGAGTATTTTAAAAGACATATTTCATAAAAGCTATCTGCTTAAGAACAACACGATTATATACAGTTTCCATACTCTCATTTGAAATATTCACATGTATGGATGAAAAGGAGTTTGGAATGTGTTTATAGATGTCTGGGGACCTGCCCCCGTCATTTGCAGATGTACCACCTTTTTGCATTGCCTATACTTTATTAATCGCTATCTTCCTTTGAAGCAAGGATATTAAAAGAAAACCTTTTATTTTCCAGCCAAGTCCTTCTCAGCAAATTAACCTGGGCCCATCATCCAACCCTCACGCTAAACCATCTGACTTTCACTTCTTGAAAGTGATCGGGAAGGGCAGTTTTGGAAAGGTAATTTCACATCTGAAGCTCTCATTATTTATAGGCTTTCATGTGCTCATTTTACATCTCCCTGGATGTGAACAGGAAAATGATTTTTAATTTCAATTTCAGGTTCTCCTGGCAAGACACAAAGCTGAAGAAGCATTCTATGCAGTCAAAGTTTTACAAAAGAAAGCAATCCTGAAAAAGAAGGAGGTATGAGATGGGCTTGGAGATAGACATTCAGTAGACATTACCTTGCCATCTTGGCGCCACGTTGAAATTTGCCACTAAATCTTAATTGTCCTTTTTCTAGGAAAAGCATATTATGTCAGAGCGGAATGTTCTCCTGAAGAACGTGAAACACCCTTTCCTGGTGGGCCTTCACTTCTCTTTCCAGACGGCTGACAAACTGTACTTTGTCCTAGACTACATTAATGGTGGAGAGGTGAGCAGAGGATGGGAGCTGACCCCTGGCTGCCTCGTGCATAGCCTGCTTTGTTTTAATTTGAGAGGAAAGTTTTTAAAAGATAATTAGTGGGGGAAGAGTTACCAGATTTAGTATTTCCTTTAACCTGCCAGCTTTCAGATGGCTTATAAACTATTTAGGGCCACTTCCTGCAATTGTCCTCTTTAGCTATATGTGTCAGGACAGATCCAATGCATTGTCCAGGGTTTTTGGCAGCCCAGGCAGGCTAACTCTGTTCTCTCTCCTACAGTTGTTCTACCATCTCCAGAGGGAGCGATGCTTCCTGGAACCACGGGCTCGGTTCTATGCTGCTGAAATAGCCAGTGCCTTGGGTTACCTGCACTCTCTGAACATCGTTTATAGGTGAGCTGAAGAGCTCTTAAGGCTCCCTTCCTTGTGTAAAGGAGACGTAGCCCGGCCTTTGACAGGGCCTTAAAATAACCTGTGTTTAGGCACAACTTGGTCACCTAAAACCAGGTCCCCAGCATGTGACCCATCTGTTGACTCCCCGCCACGAGGGAGCTAGCCAATGAGGATTGTGCCTCATCCGGAATAGATGAACAGAACAAGGACCCCCTTTTAGATTCACTAACACAACTACAGTGAATGTAAAGTGCTTCCAATAGCCCTAGTGGTGATCTTTACGGAGGATTGCTAATGTGGTGAAATTAACTTATACGACTACTTTCCTATTCTTTTTTTTTTTTTTTTTTTACAGAGACTTAAAGCCGGAGAATATTTTGCTCGATTCACAGGGACACATTGTCCTTACTGACTTTGGACTCTGCAAGGAGAACATTGAACACAATGGCACGACGTCCACCTTCTGCGGCACACCCGAGGTAGGCGAACTCCTGGTCCACTCCTTCCTCCAGGAAGGGGTCACTGCAGTGACGCTTTTAACTACTGAAAGAGTAAGCTGTTTTCGGAGATGTTTTAGTCCAGTTCAGTGCAAGTAAAATACACTGGCTGTTGGAGGCATGAGAAATTCCAAGGCCTCACATTGCTTTAATGAAAGTGAGCTGTTTGTAAGATCCACACTATAAAAGGTTTCTAAACCCCTAAGTAAGATGTCTGAGGAGGGCCCAATAGCTTTCAAAATATCAGGACATGTAAGTGGCCAGTCAGCCTCAAAGCCAGCAGTTTTATCAGGAGGTAGTTTAAAGAAATATATCCTCCAAGTGGACCCAAGGTCTCTCAGCCCTTTCAAAGTGCATGCCTGGTCTTGGGATTGCCTAGTTTCAGGGGCTCTAAACTCTCTTTCCCGGAGCATGTTTGCACCCTTCCCTGCAGCTCCTGCACACACAGTGGTGTCTGTCTGGGACTGTGGACTGGTGGTGTCTGGGGGCTGTCTTATATGAGATGCTGTATGGCCTGGTGAGTAGCCCATTGAAAATCGTGGAATATTGCCCTGGGTTGATACATTTCTCCCTAGAATGTAGTCTTTTTTTTTTTTTTTTTTTTTTTTGCGGTACGCGGGCCTCTCACTGTTGTGGCCTCTCCCGTTGCGGAGCACAGGCTCCGGACGCGCAGGCTCAGCGGCCATGGCTCACGGGCCCAGCTGCTCCGCGGCATGTGGGATCTTCCCGGGCCGGGGCACGAACCCGTGTCCCCTGCGTCGGCAGGTGGACTCTCAACTACTGCGCCACCAGGGAAGCCCTAGAATGTAGTCTTAAAAATCCAGACTTATCTGGGCACACAAGCCCCATTGCAGACCTGATCATCACGTCTTGCCCTCTATCAGTAAGCTTATCAAATGCTGATGAGAGAGGCATAGTGGTTAAGCTATAGGTATTTTAGGGTAAACCGTGCCTAGTGGATTTTTTTCTTTCATAAGTTCACATTTTACTAGGTGTGAGCACACTTAACCTATGTGAGAGTGAAAAACATGGCCTATTAACATCTACCTCCTGATAAGGGTGGCAAAATATAGACACTTAAAAATCCAGGGTAAAGAAAGCCTATCAAGTGATAGACTTTGTCAAAACCAGCTTCGTATATTACGTTTAAGTCTTCCTTGGTAATGGATGCTCTCCAAAACTTCCAATTAAGTAGTAAGTAATCTTCCTGCTTCTTTCAGCCTCCATTTTATAGCCGAAACACAGCTGAGATGTACGACAACATTCTGAACAAACCCCTCCAGTTGAAGCCAAATATTACAAATTCTGCAAGACACGCCCTGGAGGGCCTCCTGCAGAAGGACAGGACACAGAGGCTTGGTGCCAAGGATGACTTTGTGAGTCATTTTTTCCTCCCCTCCTGGGCTGTATGGGTAGAGCCCTAGGCCTCACCGCCCTTCTTGAATTGTACTCTTCTCGTGCTGAATTCATGCGTCTTTCTCAACAGATGGAGATTAAGAACCACGTCTTCTTCTCCCTAATTAACTGGGATGATCTCATTAATAAGAAGATTACTCCCCCTTTTAACCCAAATGTGGTGAGTATCTCTCGTGAGTGTGCACAGGCCCAAAGGGCATTTCTTTAAGCCAGAGTTGCTGTTGGTAGTGGTGGAAGGGGAAGGGCCCTCAAGGAATAAACTGGCATTCGTAAGCCATTGTTTTACCCACAGAAAAACGTAGAACTTTTGTCCCAACAAAGCTGACATTATTTTTCCATAACTTTTATAAATTACAGCAGCAAAAGACGGAGAGTAAGCATGGTCCTCATAGTTGAAACTCTGTGGGCTTTGGGTTTTGTGCTTGAAATGGTTGCTGATGGTGGAAGTTGCCATATGGTGCCTGCATGAGAATTTCCCTTTCTTGTCTCCATTGTGAATTCTTGACATGGAGTACGTTTTCTTCCCTTCCTGCATCAGAGTGGACCCAGTGACCTGCGGCACTTTGATCCCGAGTTTACTGAAGAGCCAGTCCCCAACTCCATCGGTCGGTCGCCCGACAGTATCCTCCTCACAGCCAGTGTCAAGGAAGCGGCCGAGGCCTTCCTGGGCTTTTCCTACGCACCTCCCATGGACTCTTTCCTCTGAATGGTCTTAGGGTTGGTTGTGAAGGATTTTACGGGCGTCTTTGAAATGTTTTAGTTAGCCTTTTGGCAGAGCTGCCAGCTGACAGGACATCTTAAAAGAGAATTTGCACATCCCTGGAAGCTTGCACATCTTGGCAATCTTATTGCACACTGTTTGCTGGAAGCTTTTCGAAGAGCACATCCTCCTCAGTGAGCTCGTGAGGTTTTCCTTATTCTTCCTTCCAATGTGGTGCTATCTCTGAAATGAGCAGTAGAGGGCCGCCCCAGGCAGATGGCAGTGGTCTCATTCGTAGGAGGACGCTGTTCGGAGAAGGAGCTTCTGAAGGTCTGTCCGGGCCGTGATAACACATCTTATGAAACGTGCCTTTTCTGATGAGATCGTGTTAGCTCCAAAGTTCTTCCTGTTGCCGAGTGTTTCCGTTCTGTTTTTCCTTGTGGACTTTCCTGTGTGATCAGCCGTATGAGTGTGGTATGCTTGCTCACAGAAGGACTCAGTTATAAGCATCAATGTGACACTTGCAGGACACTACAACGTGGGACATTGTTTGTTTCTTCCATATTTGGAAGATAAATTTATGTGTAGGCTGTTTTTTTTTGTAAGATATAGTTAATAACTAAAATTTATCGAAAATGGTCTTGCAATGACGTATCCAGATGCTTAAAGAAGCATTGCTGCTACAAATATTTCTATTTTTAGAAAAGGTTTTTATGGACCAATGCCCCAGTTGTCAGTCAGAGCCTGGTGTTTTCATTGTTTAAAATATCACCTGTAAAATGGGCATTATTTATGTGTTTGGTTTTTTTGTTTCTTTTTTGCATTCCTGATAATTATATGTATTGTATAAAGAAAGTCTGTACATTGGGTTATAACACTAGTATATTTAAACTTACAGGCTTATTTGTAATGTAAACCACCATTTTAATGTACTGTAATTAACATGGTTATAATAATGTACAATTCTTTCCCCCCTCCCTACCACACACCTTTTTTTGTGTGTGATAAACCACTTTGGTTTGCAATAAAACCTTGAAAAATATTTGCAGAAATTGTGTCATGTGTGTTATTTTGTAAATTTCAGTTAAGGGGGCAATAGTAGATCTGTTTAAAATTTTAAACCAGGGAAATGGCTGCTGTAGTTTACAGCTCAGTGGCTTGATTCCTCCGGTAGCATCAGCTTCTGACTCTAGGAGAGAATAGGGTGGTCTTAAAGCCATTTTTTTTTTTTCTTTGGTGGGAGGCTGCATTGCACAACTTGCAGGATCTTAGTTCCCAGACCAGGGAGAACCCATGCCCCCTGCAGTGGAAGGACACAGAGTCCTAACCACTGGACCGCCAGGGGATTCTCTAAAGCCAATTTCTATTTTTGGGCTTCTCAGCAGCATTTTATGTCAGTCATTATCCATAAATCCATCCAAACAAATCCTTGTCAATTTAACTCTCTCAAGGACAGCCATGAAGTAATGATCCCTATACTTATTGCCTGCCCTGTAAGTTGGCTGTTTGTCTGACATTTGGCTTGTCTGAAGTAACAGGTAATTCTTTCAACAAATATTTGGAGCCTTCCCTGGTGCCAGGCTCTCTTCTGAGTGCTGGGGATAAAGCAATGAGCAGAGCTGACAAATCTCTGCCCTTGCACATCCTGGTGGGAAAGACAGACTTTCAGTAAAGCAGTTTGTCGAAATGGAAATCGAGATAACAGTCTGTAAGTATATGAGAATGCCACTAAAGTGGGTGAGGATGTTTGTCATAAATGGCTATGTTCCCAAAATGCTGAGCCGGCGGGACTCCTGGTTCGTGAGAGTAACCAGAGCCGAAACAAGTCCAGTGTCAGCTCAGGGAAGGACCCTGCAGGGGCGCATGCCTGGTTTGAACCAGAAGCCACTGAAGCTGGTGTGCGCCCAGCACTGCATGGGCCCACCTGACTGATGTTCAGAGGCCTTTCCTAGAGCTCATCCCATTGGAATATTTCCTGTGGGAGAAAGGAAAGGGGCTTGATATTAGGAGATAATGATCTTGCGTCCAAGTTGTTTGGACTTTTTCACTTTTCTAGGCCTTCCACAAATTTCCTAGCAGACATGGGATTCTCCAATAGTTGGCCCTTCTGCTGCTCTAAGCCTACTGCACACCCTCTACCGTGACCTCTTAGTTTGCACAGGGAATTCCCCAGGGAAAGTAGTGGTCATTTTCCCTTTTATCATGGCTCTTATATCTCACCTCTCCCAGAAGGCTTGTAAGGGTTGAACAGGTGTTGGAGATCACTTAGTCTGTCTCTCTTGAGTCAATGACTTCTTGCTGAAGGGAAACCCCAGATCAAGCTCTGCATTTGAGTTACGGCTCTGCCCTACAGACATTAGCTGCGTATTAAACCCCTTACCAAACCGAAATGCCAAAATCGACAATGATGACAAAGAAAATCTAAAGTCCTAGTAACGACTGATGCTAGCCCTGACAAAAAGGCTTTCTGCATATCTCCCCCTCATTCTCATGATCAATAACAGTTAAGAGTTCCTCTTTGACCAATAAGTACTTAAATCACTTTATCTGAACATAAGTCTTGCAGCTGCGACTCTCCCATCTAATTATAGATAACTCAGAGGGGTTAATCATGGATTACAAAGCTTTTTAATTTTTTAAGGGTAGAAATTTGGTTTATGGCTTCAGTCAGTCACTATGTAAGATCTGATTTGCATTGCTGGAGAGTTGATAAGAGCCAGAGGAGTCCCAGGTGTCACATAAACAGGAGGAGGTTAAATCAAACACAAGTGGGTGGGAAGGGAACAGAGCAAGAACAGGGAAGTCCAGAAAGAAAAAGGGATCAACTGAAAAAAAGACAAATATTTACTAAACACTATGATGTCAAATAGCATATGTGCAGAGGTATCTTTTATCTAGGGCTGTGGGGCACATCCCTGTCAGCATTTGAAACTACATTTGAGCATTATGGTTGGTAAAATGGACAATTCACTTAATAGTTTTTCAGTGGTGGAGCTGGTCAAATATGGGTCTGGGGGAACATTCAGCTAAGATCCCACAAGTTAAAATGGGACTTTGAGGGCTTCCCTGGTGGCGCAGTGGTTGAGAGTCCGCCTGCCGATGCAGAGGACACGGGTTCGTGCCCCGGTCCGGGAGGATCCCACATGCCACGGAGTGGCTGGGCCCATGAACCATGGCCGCTGCGCCTGCGCGTCCGGAGCCCTGCTCCACAGTGGGAGAGGCCACAGCAGTGAGAGGCCCGCGTACCACAAAAAAAAGGGACTTTGAAACCACTGCTACCATGAATATAAGTCAAGTACCATGCTTAGGGAATTTGCCATATACTTGGGGAGACATGGTACCTATCCGTGGTATAGGGCAGTTGATGAATGAAGGGTAAAGGGAATCTCAGAAGTCCAGAAGCTCTCTGTGAGCTTGGCTACCTAGAGTAGGCTTCACAGAGGGGATGACAAAGATTCTCACCAACCAATTCATTTCTAGGGAGTCTAATGGGATGCAGGCTCTAAGGATTAGATAACAGTAATAATAGTTTATACTATAGTGCTCGAACTGTATGCCAGACGTTCTTCTGAGTACTTTATACAAAACTTATTTAATCTTCAGAATAACCCTGTGATGTCAAAAATGAAGAAACTAGCACAAAAAAGTAATTTGCTGGGACATGGTTAGGTTAGAAGTCAAATCGTGACAGTCTGGCCCCAAAGCCTATGTTTGTAACCACTACATACTCTGCAAAATGTTGTCACCTAAAAGGTGACAACAAGAATATAGAGGTAAACAATTGTGTGCTTGTTAGTCATTCACTTATTATTTCTCCAGACCTTTACGAAGATACCTTCTAGGTGTTGTGCTAGGCAAAGAGAGAGAAAGAGAAAGGGGGGTTGGGAGGGATAAAGAATTTGCAATTATAATGTAGACATTGTCAGTTGTTGAAGATGAGAAGCAGCTGGAAATACACATTGCAGTGGGAGTGTAAATCAGTACAACCATTTTGAAAAACTTTGGCATCTTCTACTAAATAAAGATGGACATATTTCTAACTTATGACCCAGTAGTTTCACTCGATGGTATATACACCCCAAAGAGTGCACATATATTCAATAAAAATTTTGCAGTAATATTCACAGTAGGACTATTTATATTAGCCCCAAAATGGGAACAATTCAAAATGTCCACCAACAGCAAAATGCATAAATATAATTAATAAATTAGTAAATATAGTGGAATACCATACTATAATGAAAATGCTATATGCTATATACAGCAACAGGGAATAAATCTCACAAACATAGAAACCACACTGTATGATTTGATTTATATAAAATTTGAAAGCAGGCCAACAAAACAAAGCCATTTAAAAGTCAGGATCTGATTGTCTTTGGGGAGGGGAGGATGGAGATAATGATCAAGAGGGCAAGTGATGCGGGTGGTCTTCTGGGTGCTGGTGATTTCTTTTTTTTTTTTTGCGGTACGCAGGCCTCTCACCGTTGTGGCCTCTCCCGCTGTGGAGCACAGGCTCCGGACGCGCAGGCTCAGTGGCCATGGCTCACGGGCCCAGCCGCTCCGCGGCATGTGGGATCTTCCCGGACCGGGGCACGAACCCGTGTCCCCCGCATCGGCAGGCGGACTCTCAACAACCGCGCCACCAGGGAAGCCCTGCTGGTAATTTCTTGATCTTGGTGGTTTCAGGCGTGATTTTGCTTTTTGATATTTTATCAAGCTAAATACTTATGATACATGAATTTTCTTAGGTTTGTTATATATCAATAAAAACGTTTACTTAAAAATACATGGTATGACAGAAACAGGATGTTATGGGAACGCAGAGGAGGGACTTCTTATCCAATTTGAGGGTCAGGGAAAGGGGCTAAGTTTTCGGGGAGCTTAGGACAGAGAGGCTTAGGGAGGTTTGAAGGGCTCAGGTCGATTGTCTTGGGAACTGGATCTTGAAATTGAGGCAGAAAGTAGGGCCTTCCAGGTCTGGCTGGTAGAGGTGGGGAGCCAGG